GCTGAAGAAACACGGTAAACGGGGGGACAAACATGATCACTGGGAAGTCGATCCATTGGGAAGCCAAATTATAAGGCGAAAAGGTCTTCGTTCCTGAACAAGACGATGAAACGCCCGTGGACCTCAAAATGCTTTCATCAATGAGCATAACCATCGCGCAGTTCAAAAACGGAAGCTTTGAGACATTCGTCATGTGGGATTGGTGTAATGCTAAATGCAAGCTGTTGAAGGAGCCATGGACGGGTAAAACTATCTTCAGGATTGCAGGGCCGAATGAGATCGACTATGGCGTCGAGTCCCGTGAAATTAGGAACGCATTGACAGACTTCAAGTATGCAGGTGATGGACAACAAGGTGCAAATGACATCTACCTGGTTGGAACGGGAGCCTTTGAAATGGTCCTGCTAGAAGATAATCAGGCTACCATAAGAATACTTGAGTCAGGTCGGTCGCCAGCGTTTCGACATACGGACAAGACCCAACGTCTCAATTTGGCGTGGCTTGCTGAGCAGTTTGGTCGAAGGCATTTCGTACTCGTATACGTCGCATCGATCTTGCAAGCCGCCGATATTTTTACGAAACCGTTTAGTAACGCCGAGAAATGGGATAAGCTCATCAAGTTGCTTGCCATCGTTTCGTCTCCCGAAACTGCCGTCCGCAAGGCCGAAAAGAAAGTGCAAAGCAAAGGGGAACCTTCTGCCGTCGTGGCATCGTCCGGACCTCAGAGGATCCTCATTGCAGTGTGTTGTGGACCGAACTCAAAGTTAGGGGATACGAGTAGGAAGCAGGCTCATGGATGTATCGTCTTTCGTGTAACTGAACAAGATGACATCACTTCTCCCAAAACTAGGAAGAGAATCATTGATCTCGTGAATGATGTCCTGCGGAAGCATGGACCGAAGGTCAAGATTCTTGTTTGGGTGAGCGTCCCATGCGCTGGCGGATCACCATGGCAAAGGGTCAACAAGTACATTCCTTCTGCTGCCGTCAAGATTGAAGGTCACGTTCATGAAATGAAACGCATTTGGTCAGGTATGGTAGACCTTGTTAACTCGCTTCGTCGGTTGTCACCGTGGATCGCGATCGAGTGGCCAGATGGTTGTGACTATTGGGAACTTGACAAAGTGAAACAGTTTTGTGTTTCTCGTGTCATGGACTCTGTTAGGTTTGACGGATGCATGGTAGGAGTTGTTGACATGAATAACGTTCCTATTAGGAAGCCATGGAGAATTCAAACTAATTTAAGTCAGTTGATTGATGCTTTTGTAGGAAAGAAGTGTCAGGGTGGGCATGAACATGCGGAAGGTCGAGGTGCATCATTGAAGCGTACGGAGGAATACACATACTCCATGACGGATTGATTTGATTCATCAGGCTTTTCGCGTGGCCGTGTCTGCTCAATGACAAGCCGCTCGTACGACCACGTGTCACTGTGATCTTTGCGCTACCCGCTCGACTTCGACTACTTTCGACATGCCCTCCTCGATCTTGGAGCCCAAGTTCGTGTGCGATGGGAAGAACGCACAGGGGAACCTGGTGTCGAAGTTTTCGGACTATGTTTCCATGCCTACGGAGCCCACCAACCGTGAGAAGTGGGACGAGCTTTTGGAAAGTGTCGGGTGCCTCGCAGCCATTGTTGACCATCCGGTTGACGCGAGGGCTCATGTCACGGTGCAACAGAACGTGGACAATTTGAGTTTCGCGAAAGCTGCACTTGAGAAAATCCACCTGGATTACGCGCGCTGGCTGGATAGGACGAGCTTGAGGATTCTCGGAGCATTGCCTTGCCCCGGGGAACCGGTGGCGGATTTTATCTTCGTCGGTGATTCGAGCATGGCGTTGGTTCAAGCCGAACAACCGCCAGAGGGATCGTTCGGCCGGCAAATCAAGTGCCGGGTGCTGCAGTGATGGGGTGGTACGATCAGCAGTTCTTTGTCTCAAAGCGTGTCTCCGGCCTGCTGCGTGGACACAACCACGCCAATCGACGAGATCGCATTCCACTTCCGGACTTCCAGGACGGGGCATGGATGGATTTTGCGTCGGTGTTTTCCTTCATCAAGAGGAGGTATTCTCGCTCCCTCACCGTGTCGGACTTGATTGACATCGTGACTTCAAACCATAGGTTCATGCTCGATGTGCAGCTTGCCCGCGAGGGGGAACTTTTCGCCGAGAAATACCGCTTTCTGCCGGTGCGAATCAAGGCGACCCAATCGCACAACGACTGGGTTCTGGAGAACATCAACATGGCATGGCCCGAGGTCGACAGAATCATCTGCCTCGATCCATCGTTCACGATCGAACGACTGTTGCGAAAGGAGCATCCAACGCTCCCAGTACGACTTGACCTGCATATCAAGGATGTTCACCCCAAGATCTTGTACCACTACACTCATATCGCCTTTGTGAATGATGTGATTCGATGTGGCATCTGTCCGGGGGGACTCAGGACTAGCAAGGCTCATTCGTACTTCTCGGCCTTCGATCCATGGAGCATCCAGAAGACGAGTCAAGCAGGGATGGCTTCGACCAGGCCCGTTGCTGTTGCCGTTGATGTTGAGATGGCGGTCGCCTATGGGATCAGGTTTGCCGTCACTCAGAGTCATGCAGTTGTGACCACCGATTGGGTACCAAATCAGTTCCTCATCTATGCATATGACGTGTCAGCAATATGCTTCATCTTTGCGAACCATGACTATGCGAAGGAGAGAGCCTCGTTCAATCAGGATCTCCGAGACATTGTTGTGCGTCGCCGGGAACGGCTTGACCGTGGTGAAGAAGCAGACGACAATGCAAGGAAGCAGTCGTTGCTGGCGAGGTCAAGGTGGGACCTGTTCGGCAAGTATGAAAAGTGGGTGCACGGAGCTTGGGTGGAAAATGCCTTCATTCTCGAATCGTACAACCGTGAGTTCTGCAAGGATCAGCTCGAGCATGCAGATGCCAATATCGGTACGTACTCTACTCCGTACATGGCAATTGCATGGCAGCCGGAAGGCGATGCCCCGAACAACTCGGCATGGCCTCTATCGCTGGGATCGGTTGATTGGGCGCACTGGACCCCTGAGATGGAGATGCGCTACGATCCTCGAGGAAATGAGAAGTTCTTCACCTCACGGTGGATCACTGTTCGACAGCATGATGTTGAGCCACAGTATTGTGCAGACTGCCAAACCGATTCACCATTCGGATGTTTGTCGTGCTTGAACTGTGGACGACTTGCACGTGTTGCGACAGACATGAGAAAGGCATCGCTCCTTGTCCGTCTTGAAAACTTAGCCGCAAGCTTCGGTTTCGACTTGTCCTTGGACATGTTTCCAGATGACGACATTCGTGCCCGGGGGGACCGTGGGCTGAGGAATCCTGCAGGTGGTAGGATCAGGACTGGACAATCTGCCATCGCAACGATCCGAGCACATGCCAAATCGCGCATGGATAAATCGAAGAAGCTAGAATTTGGCTCGCTCACAGAGCGTTTGTGCTTGGATCCGTTCTACGCGTTCAACTGCGCGGCGCAGGACATGTCCCCTGACTGTTTGAAGTTTTTACAACGACTCAGTTCAGCGGTATTGCCCATCCCAACGCGTACCGCCCAACAAATCCAAGACGGGGTAGGTGTCAATGTGAAAGCAAAGATCCTCATGATCCCCGACACATCCGAGCGCGAGGTCGACGTGTCGAATGAGGTCTTTGTGTTCTGGAAGAACAAGATCCTACGCCCTGGTGTCTTTGTTGGACTGTGCTCGATGGAGAGCAATCGCTTTGAGGTCTTGGGTTTTTCCGGCTCATTCCTCTCGGAAGAGAAGGACGTTGCGAAGATCAAAACGGAGTTCATTGGCTGGCTATCATCTGACCTCCAGAGCATTCCGTCCTACGAGAACCTCGTACGTGCAGATCCACGGAACATTCACGTACCGGAGAGGGAGGGCGTCGATCGTGTGAAGGGAAAAGGTAAGGGCACATGGCGTCACGGAGGCCGACAGGCTCGTGAGAACGCACCTTACCCCAGGAATCGTTGGGCCCGTGATTGGAGGGACCTCGACGACGATGTTGGCACCATTCCAGGCTGGCGCCACGCAGATTGGACATGGTACCACGACACGTACGGAGCGGATTGGTGGCGTCAAGGACGATGAACTCCACCAATGCACGGCGGGAGCCGATGCCTTACGGTAGTTGTGCAATTCTTTTCATCCAGTGCTTGTGGTCGCGCATTACCTCATTTGGTGTCGAGATGCTCTCAAAAGCCTTTGCACGCGCTGCGGAAGCAGTAGCCTCGCGCTTACTTTCTTTGAGGCTGTCCGCATTCTTTGCGAGGCTTAAATTCGTTTTGCCGAAGTGCACTCTTCCTGAAAGGAAGCATCACTCAGCATGCCGCGTGGAAACGTGTGCCTACGTAGAAGGCCCATTTCCAATTTGACGAGCTGTGGATGCATGTGAAAAGCGCTGCGTCCGATCTTCAATCGTCCGTTCGGCAGTTGACTTCTTAACTTAATCGAGTTAATCATCGTTTCCATCGCGCCTCAGGTCGGCAAAGAATCTATGAAAGCCATAGGCGCGTACGGTGTTGACCGCAAGGTATACACCGGGGAACCGGAGGTCAGTGAGGTATGCACGTTGTCCCGTGTACAAAGTCGTGAACAGGTTACTTCACTACCTTTGCTGCCAAGTGCGTTCAGCGGGGGGTGTAATTGCACGATTGTACACCTGTACATACCATATTGACCTCTATGTTTGGCTCAAGAAAAGGGCGCTCTACATGTTGGTACTGGTAGGCTGTTGGCCTGTAAATTCATTTTCAGGGGGCCCTTAACCGGCCTTCCCCAAGCGGCCCCTGTTCATGCTTTGCCCTTCGACTGATTGCCCCCCTTCTCAGGAATGCACCATCGATATGAAGTCGCAACGCAACACATTTCCCCAACATGTGGATCCCGGTCTAGGTACACTATGGTACAAGCAAATCCCAGATCTTTGTTGGTTGTGCATCTCTTTTGGCTGTCAGCGAGGTCATGCCTGAGGATGTGGAGCCAGTGGTTCAGGAGCAGGGACATTCCTAAAGACTCGACAACCCACCAATATTGGCTAGGAAGGTGATCTACGTTTCAACCGATGTCAAGTCTTGAACCGATGAACTATTTTTTTATTCTTTTTCCTAGCTGTGCTGTCTCAATCCTTTGAACCCCAGAACCTTCCAAAGTACCTGCTGCAAGTCTCCAGGGGCTCAAATACCTGATAGAAACACTGCAGGAGATCCAGGAAACCGAGAATGAGAATGGTGACGCGAAGCAGAACGAGGAGACGAAGCCGGCGCAGGTGACAGCAACTGCGGCAGTGCCGGAGAACGTGTCCCACAACGAAGCAGAAGCAGCTCCATCGGCCGCTGAAGCTGCTGAAGCCGCTGAAGCCACCAAAGCTGTGCCAGGGGAGGTGCCGAAAGAGAATGAAGGAGAAGTAGCAGAGAGCGCGACGGTTGAGTCAGAGAAAGCGGAGGTGGTTGAGGTGGTGGATGATGATGAGGTGGTGAGGGCAGTCATCGTTTGTTGGTGCAAGATTGGGCAGTTGGTAGCGTTTGTTTGGAGGCAGAACGGAAGCTTGAAGACAGGTCTCTGGCTTAGTTGTAGAGCGCTGTAAGTTGTTGATTGTCAAAGGCAGGACGCTGAAACAAATTTGCATTGTTTGCAAGAGGCAGAGAAGGAAAGACGACAAGGAGGACGGACACACACACACACACATATATATATATATTCTTTTTTTTCTGCGTGTCTTTTCCGTCTGCTTGCTCTCTAGGCATCTTTTGGCCTGAAACACAGCGGAAGCTGTGTAGTGTGTCCTTGAGCACAGCTCTTTTGTAGCTGTTTGCTGGCCTGGGGCTGGCCTTCTTTCATGGCCACGTGAGCTGTGCATCTCTTGCAAAAGACCTTGTTGCCCTTTCGCCACATTTGGTGTGTGGCATGACCGGCCCAAGCAGCTGGTATTGGCCATTCACAATCCCAACATGGCGCAGCTGCTAACTCTTGCAATTTTTCTTTGGCAGAGTTCTTGAGTAGCCTCTGGTTGCAGCGCCCACACACGATGTAGTGCTTCTGCATGCTGAAGGTGTGGTCAGACACGCCAGCACAAGTGCCTGTGAGCATCCGTTGAAGCAAGGTGGCCTTGTCAGTGGTTCCTGAACTGCCTCCAACAACTCCAATGTCAGCTGCCTTTGGGCAGGCTGCTGTGGCTGCATCTTGCAAATCTGTCAACTTGCTGTGCATTGTCACTGTAGCCTGACATTGTCGACATTTCAAGCCTCGTCCTTTGGGCTCCCAGACATGGCTGTTAGGACTGCTAGGGACTGAGAGCTTTCTGTAGGCTTCTTTTTTCTCTTCTCCAGCTTCATCACGTTTGATCTTTCCTGTTTCTCTGGCTGCATTCATGAAGTGTTGTTTGTCTTCAATGAGGTAGCGGATGCGTTGTATTGCCTGAGGTGCAATCCGCTTGTACTTGTCATCTTGCTGAACCAGCTCTTCTTCTTGACTGGTTGGTTGAAGCCCAAGAGCAATTTCTTTGGCTGTTTTGCATGCATCCTCTTGTCTGTGCCTCAAGGACCACTCATGGTTTGGCGTGTCTTTGAGCTGTTTCGATGAGATGCACAAGACTTTGACGCGGCTCTTTTGATCCAGCGTGATGAGTTCACGAAGGTCGTGAAAAACTTCTGCGTGTCTGTTTTGTTGCCAAGCTTCCCAAGCTCTTGTGCTTTGAACATGCAGGATGATGCGCTGGTGCAAGTCCACATAGTGAGCCACCATGCGGATGCCATAGTACCATGCTCTTTCCCAGGATTGTGTGCCCGGGAGGATAGCCACTACAGCTCCTCGACGATATAATTGTCCACCAATTTGAGTGTGGTGTACAATGGCCACAGCGTAATGTTTCAACCGACAGTCAGTGGATGTGCTTGAAATGCCTATACTGACAACATCTGGCGAGATAATCCGTGCTTCATCTTGTGTGGTCCAAGTGCCCCATGCCTGTACCGATGCACCTCCTGTGGCAATCGGCGTTGCTGGCTTTATCAAAAGGCCTTGCGACCAGAACTCTAGATTGAGTCCGTGCTCAAGCTCGATCTTGTCCTCATTGGTGAGGGCCGGAAAGCGCTTCTGAGTCTCTTTGCAAAGCCATAGCAAGTGCACTGCTGTGGCTGGTTGACCACAGTGTGGACACATGAGATGCTGGCCCTCTTGTCCATCACTCATTTTGGTGAGGATAGCTCCCTGATGCCATGTTTGCAATGCTGTGGCATTCTGAGTGTTCAAAGTCCTGTTCATGGGTTTGAGGGTTTCCAGTCAAGCGGTCTCTGAACTTCTTGCAACATTGATCTGGAATTGATGCGTTGCAAACGGTCACTTTTCTCTGCTCGCTTGAGTTCAGCCTTGATGGTGAGCCACGAGTCACGCATGCTGATTTGAAACTCACGTTCATCGTTTGGAGCTGGCTTTGTCCACTGTTCAAAGTTGTCAGCTTGCCAACCATGATCTTTCAGGTAACATTGTGGTGCAGCGACAGGTCCTTTGGCGACTTGCCAATCGTGAGCTGCTTGTGAGAGTCGTTCCTGATGATGTGCCCAAGCCCGTTAAGGTCTTTCCTCAAGGCATTGTCCAACAAAATGTCGGAAAATATTGACCTGATCGTGGAAAGCAGCTGTGTCTGGATCTTGGTGCCTACTCTTCATATCGAAGACAATGTCAAGGTTTCCTGTTCTTTGATGGCCTAGCTGACGTCCCATTGCAGCTTTGAGCCTTGCCCGATGTTGTGGAGCTAGTCCCATGGCCTCGTGTCCCCAACTTATGCAGGAAAGTATGCTGCCCTTGTACAACCGAAGGCGGATTGCTCGTTGGGGTATTTTGAGCATCTGCAACTTCTTGGTTTTCCTGCTGGCCTTTTGTCTCCGAGCTTGCATTGTTCGAATCCTTCTGAGTCGCCCTCCTGTGCAGTCGACTCCCAAATCTCGCATCACATCGTGCACCTGTGAACCCTGCTGAGGAAGCTGTTCAGTGAGAAGCTTCTTGGCTGTACTGTTTGAGACAATGAAACCAGTCTTCTTTTCTGAAATGAGCAGGTGTAGTTGAAAGCCGCGATGGCTATTCGGACCGCGTTTGCCGGGTCCCGGTCCACAACGTCAAAGCTCAGGTCATCTATCCATAGGTCGACGTGAAGTTGCGGGTACTTTTTGCTGAAGGCATGCAATGCTTTGTGCAAATAGACCTTTGCAGCTAAGGGCGCTTGAGGATCTCCTGCCAGGATGCCGTTGGCGGTCCATAAAGGTCTGGAGGCCTCTCCTTCAGCTTCAAGGTTTCTTGAGCCACAATAGATTTGCATAGCCAGCGCTGCGTGTGTTGCCGGGTAGTCAGAGTCCAGCCATCTTTCTGTCAATTTCTCAAGATCAATTCGGTCATAGAAATTTGACATGTCCAGCAAAACTGAAATCACTGTGCGTTGCAAAGCTTTGTGATGCTCCGTCATGAAAGCTCTCTTCAAAGCTACCTTCAGACATTCAGTTCCAGGTACTGCACGCTCCCAAATGTAAACATCTTTGATGTTGTGCTGCCACTGTTGGGTGTAGGTGGCACGGACTTTGCACCGCAACCTGTAGAGAGATGCAACCATAGCAATTGGTCTTTCGATCTCTGAGTTCTTTGGTAGCAATGCAATCAATGATGTCGTCCATTGATTGGGAACAGTTGCTTGAGCTTCAACTTCATGAAAAAAGGGAACAAGTTCAGGCATAGCTTGGAAAGGCAACTCTTTGAGATAGTCATAGCCAACAGCGTCAAGACCAGGCGCTTTGTGGCTGAGACTTTTGATGACCTTCCACACCTGATGAGCATGCGACGGATGTAGATCTTTGGCTTGCTCTTGCCCTTTGTGAACCAGTGCTTGCAAGGTGCGCGGTTCACTGGGTTGCTCTTTTTGTTGCCAGATGTTGCTCCATTGCTGAATTCGTTTTTCCATTCGTTCCGCACGTGGATGGTGTTGAAAAGGTCTGGCGTAAGGCTTAAGGCATTGTCCTGTACAAGCCACGGCCACCTTTTTGACTGGCAGCATTCATCCATTTCCGATACTCTTGCGTCTCCGTGTGAAAAACTGTGTCCTGATGCAGAGCCCATTGAGATTTGACAAACTTCAGCAGTACTCGGATGTGTTCATTGTCATGTTCTCCCGACAACATATTGTAGAGCAGCATGAAACCATCCAAGGTGACCGCATCATCCGGATGCCAGTGTTGAGGGACATGCCAACCTAACTTCTCCAGGTGATGCATGTCTGCTTCAGCTTTACTGGTTCTGCGCAAGTGCTGTTGCAATCTGAGCTCAATCTGCGACCAAAATGCCAGGACCCCTTTTCTCCAAAGCCATGGTTTGCTTGGGTCCACAAGTGGCTTTTGTACATATTGGAGATTGGTTCCTCGTCCATATGTAGGTTGATCGAGGTTCTGGAGGACATAGCGTTCAATTTTGCTGTACAGCTGTCCGGCTTTCTGGCTGAGCGTGTTGGTGCTCAGATCAAGCCATTTCACTGTCACATCTGTTGTCTGCATTTGAGTCCATTCTGTCTGTATCTTCTGCAGCTTCAGAGCGGGTTGATATCTCTGGATTTGTTGAACAGTGATGTGTTGCAGCTCTTTTGCCAGGTGAACATGTAATTGCGCATGCGGTTTGAAGGGTACAATCCAATCAGCAGAAATCGTTGTATCTGCAATCAGGTTGTTGGAGACCAGGGCCCAGTCCAATTCCCTTCCGGTTTGGCATGTATCTTCACCAGTAGCTAACATACTGACTTGCATCACTGTGCCTATCGTGGTTGCCATGAACTCTTCAGGTGTGATGTTGAAATCACCTATCACAGTCACAGGTTTTGCCAAGCCAGTGACAAAGGTCATGAGCCCAGACCAGAGCAGCGTGTTGGTTGGTCCCTGAATTCCTTCCTCACATTTGAAATACGCCATGACAATGACCAGGGCGAAATTGTCAAAGGACCAGTGCACTGCGTACCAACCACATCCATCAATCAACTGCTTTTGTACAAAATGGATGTGCAAATGAGTTGGAAATAAAAGGATCATGCCACCATGAGTGCCTCCTTTTGGGCTGAGCGCTGCAGCTTGTCCAAGGACTCCGAAACCACGTGTTGCAAACCATTGCAATGTTTTCTCATGATCTTCTGGTCCAAGGTGTGTTTCAACAAGGAAAATGGGCTTTCTGTTTCGTCCAATGATCCATTGCCGAACTTGTTGACCCAACTGTGTGACATTTGCAAAAGAAAATCCTGTGCCTTCAAGGCATCTTCTTTTGGGATTCTTTGCTTGTCCAGTCGTTTGTACTGTCATAGTGATGTCGCTCGGGATGTCAATAGGCAGGATCTTCTTTGAGGGGACCGCCCACACCTGAACAATCCATCGTCAACCAGCCACATTAAGCCTCTGTAGCAGAAAACAGCGTAGAAGTGTCCACTTTTGTGTGCAGTTCCCGAATGACAGAGGTGTCCCACCACTGAAAATTGTTCCGTTTTGGTTTCATTGCCATCATAGGTGACCGGCAAGTTGAAGACCGAGGGCACTTTCAGGATCTGATGATGTTTTGTCCATTCACCTTCAAGAAAGGAGTATCTACCAATCTGGGCTACCCAAAGCCCAGTGCCATCAAGCACCTGCCCTGCGGCAGTGTTTGCCCA